CACAGCAATTCCACTTGTGTACTTGCTTAAGAAATGATCAACCCCTTCAACTTTATAATGGCGGAAGCTATTTGCCCTACAAGAAGTAAGCTTCTCAGGCTCACAACTCTTGCTCCAACCCAACAGTCCCTTAGGTGAAGGGCAAGCAACACATTGGCTGCCCTTACAAAGCCCAAACTTCCCACATCGCTCTGGCAATTGGCACTCATTTTCCCACCAGATTGAATTGTCTCTGTCGAAAAAACTGAAGGTCACTTCCCATGCCCGAAAATCAATCTTGTCATTGTAAGTGTAAAGCTTGACATCTCCATCAATTCCAAGCCTAAGAAACGTTGATGTGCTATTGTATTTGGTCTTAGCTAGATAGATAGTTCCAATGGAGGAAGGGTTGGCCTCTTGATAATTTAAGGTCAAGTCATAACCAGAACCCTCATCTGGGGCACTATGTATCGTCACATGCTCCCATGATCCCTTCGGAAGAGTGATGCGTTGAGCCAATGTGAAGTAAAGTAGTGGTTTTGGGGAGTTTTTTGCTCTTAGAGTATAGTACAAAGCCAACCCGTTGGGCTCCATGACCAAGCTGTAAGGCCCATCTTTGTTTTCTTTCTCGGAGGCCCAACTCACAAAATTGGTTACTGCCCCAACCCGGAGAGATTGACCCACCAACAAAGTGTCAGCAGGGTGGTCAAAGCTTTGCCAAACAAAGGTACCCTTTGAGTTATAGAGGACCGTGTTGCCTGTTGGAAGCACTACAAACCCTCTACGACATGCTTTATTACTGGGTGCAATATGCTGACGGCCGGCTCTACGACATGCTTTATTACCCTATCCAAATTCCACTTTGGAATTTGAGTCGAACCCTGTACGTGTCCGACATCTGGCAAATGCCGGCCACAAATCACCGAATTGCCCTTCTAACTAAAAACCAAAATTTCTTCAAGTTTGACTTCTACCAAAAATTCGGCAGAGTTTCCTCTGTAAATAATCTATTCCCAAATATTTCCACTTGTACAAAAGCAATATACATATATCCACAATCGCTCAGCATGCTCAATACATAATTCAAGCAACCAAAATCTAATCTTTATGGCCTCATGCCTTTCCAAAACAAATAAAATGTTATGCCAACAGAAACGGATCCAAAGAAACAACACGAATACATTTATAGATTTCAAATAATTTAACTGAACAGCTTTTCCATCACTTGGTCTTGCGGCTACACCTAATAACTCTAGGTTGCTTACGTACCTTTAACAAGAGATTAAGCCACACGTAGTTCTTTCCAATTTTCCCAATTCTCAAATCATAAGCAAGCCACTCACTAAACTTCCTCTGATTCATAAATCACTTTATGTATTACTAGCTTAAATTAATATAAATATATATAATTAAAAAAAAAGATGAAATTAAAAATAAAAATAAAATAAAAATAAAACAAACAACCGCTGAAGACACCTTTAACCTTTCCTTCGAAACTCACATAAAACCAATTATAAATATATATATATATATATATATCAATTAGTGAAGGCTTCGAGGGCCATTCGCATTCAATATTTAAAATAAAAAAAATGCAAGTACGCATGCAATAATATTAATATGGTATTGGAACTTCTTTCTTTATTTTTAAATTTCTATGTTGATATGTGTTAATGATCAAAATTACGTTGTTTTTTAGGCTTATAATTCCCTTTCTTTTCTTTTTTTCTTTTTTTGAATTTTATAAAATACAAACGAGAGCCACCTAGGCATTTAACTGTCTTTACTAATGGTTGGTTAACAAAGTGGTTTAAATGTAGGGTTTTCAGGAGTTTGTGTATGAGTCTGTAAATGTCTGACAAATCATGTATGAATTAGATAAATTGTTTATAGTTTGGGAGGTTACACGTAGATAAATTATACATTACTCCAATTCCACACTATAATTACTCAAAAATAAGTATTATACGAATACTAGAGTACACTATTGGTATATGTAACTTGGTTTGAAGAACCCCAAGCTTTATTTCTGATGTCTTGTTTGAAGATTGTAATCATTAATTTGTACGGGCAGCTTTTTAGGGTGACGGGTTTTCTCTACTCTGTTGGTTCTGCCTAGAGAAATTCATCTAACCTTTGACATATTGTCGGACCATTCTGTAATCTTGGTTCTCCTCCTATCAATAATTCACTATCGTTTCTCCTCAAAAAAAATAAAAAAAGTTACTTTAACTGTAATAGATGTGGGCTTCTTAGAAACCCAATGATAAGTCATATGTGCTTTTGGACTGGATGTTAATAATTTATCTAGAACTGAGGTTGAAATATAAAAATTGGGGCCGATAGTTGGTGCCCGTAATGTTGCTATTTAAATATAGTACATAAATGTTGTCATCCTTATTATATCTATATATATAGCAAAATATATATAAAATCCATTATTGCAAGATTACAAATATGGAAAGAGGGAAATGATATACTTAAAAGTTTATATTATGAATAATAAGCTTCTCCATTACTCCCTAGGAAACTTTTGAACCACCAAGTTGAGAGTTTTGGTAGTCTTTTTAGCCCATTATTGTAATCCACATAATTGGTACCAAATCGAACAGTGAATCCCTCGTTCCATTCAAAGTTATCTAGTAATGACCATAGAAAGTATCCCTTCACGTTGACACCATTTCTAGACAAAAAAAAGAAGAAGAAAATGTGTAAAAAAACAAAGGCACTGATTTCTAGGTAATGGTTCAATAACTAAAATGTAAGAAGGCTAGCCTCAATTAATTTGTTAAGGAAAATACTTTCATTTTACTATTGTAAGTATGAACTTCTCCATTCTTGATAACAACAGTTTGACATGTGTGTAAAACAATTTATTTTGTGTTTTTGATGAATTATTTTTGCACATGTGTCAAACCATGATTTGCAAGAAAGATAAGTATCTGCTTCCAAGAAAGAAGGCAAATCATATCCATTTGTTAATAAGATCTTACTTGATTGCAGTTTGAACGTAATAGAGGTGGAGAATGTGATAGTCAACTCTGTGGGTATCATAAAGAGCTTCCTCAAGTGATAACTTTGGATCATTAAATTCATCAATGCCTACAATACAACATGCTCATTGTTACATATATAGTTTTGAATTAGACATTGTAGCCGTTAACGGTATTTTATATAATATATATATATATATATATATATGTGAAACATTGATGATGTAACTAATTAAGGTTAAAAAATAATTACCATTCTCAGTAATATAAATGATTGGATCATTATACTTTTCCTTCGTGTAGAGTAACAAATTTTGAATACCTATTGGATAAACATTTAGCCAGCTTGAAGCACCCTGCATTTCAATTTGTAGATAATTAAGAGTGACAAACAATTAACCATCCAATTGTACTCACATGAAAGCGATAAATTGTGCAACTAATAATTAAGTTAAAATTTTGATGTGTACCTTTGCACCAATCGGAACCCCATTCCGCTCAGCTACCACAACATATATTAATAGGGTCAGAGTCTAAATATTCTAAGAAACTTAAGCTGCTTGAAATAAGTTTCCAATTTGTACTCACATGAAAGAGTCACTCGAACATCTGTTAAGTAGCTTGCATGTTCATAAACATTATTAGATGCATCGCTTGCATAGTGACTAGTATAGTAATTTAGTCCAAGAAAATCAAATGACCCAATTAGTGCCTTGGATTGTGCTGTTGTGAATTTTGGTAAGCGCGTTCCAACAAGAGACCGCATGTTGTTCGGATAATCACCACTTGTCAATGGTTCCATAAACCTACAAAGTAATGGAAATCCCGAGCATGAACTAAATATTCTATTATTGGGTAAATTTTATCTTCGTAAATAAACATTTAACTGAGTTGATATATAAATTAATGATATACTTGCCATCCCAAAGTAAACTCCAATGCTCTTAATGCAGCCTTTTTATCTTCATTTGCCTCTGAAAGAGGCACAAACCATGGTGTCACGAGCGTTATTCCTATCTCACCCTTTTGATATGCCTGCAAAAGAGAAATGGATAACCTTATCTCACTGCACAATACATTCCCTCTTATATTTCACCTTAAAATTATTGACTCGTATAGAATTTTCAATTAGGACCCAATATGTTAACAAAAAAGAAAGAATTGTTTTTAACCTGAAATTTATTCTTGTACAAGTTTGCAGCAGCAGCATGAGCAAGTAGAAGGTGGTGTGTCACCAAATATGGTTCAATAGCCGAATTTCCACCAGTGCAATTTAGTTTCTGCCAATTAGAACATCGTCCTGGTGCGTAACACCCCAAAACATAGCCATTGATACTATAGGTATATGGCTCATTCAATGTGGTCCAGTACTTTACTCGATCACCAAATTCCTTATAACAAAGTTCTGCATAGTCTCGAAAATGATTGCTGTATATATACATATTTAAAATACATGTCATACTAATATGTATTTAATAAAATGATTAAAATTAAGTTATATAGAGGATATAATTGCTTGACTCACACAATTTGATCGCTTAAAAGACCACCATATTCATCTTCCAAAGCTTGGGGAAGATCCCAATGAAAAAGTGTGACAAATGGCTTTATACCTATACATACACGATTAGTAAAAGAAATTAAAATTTTGACTGAATGATATATTTATGAGTGCATGAAATGTGAAGTAATTCACCATTTCTGAGAAGTTCATTGATTAGATTGTTGTAGTATCTGATTCCAACCTCATTCACACCATCATTTAACTTTCCACCTAATAATTAAAAACAAAAAAGCAAATAAGGAAGTAACTATATATATACTTTAGCCTTTTAATTCATTTTGGTTTGATTATTTTTTAATTAAGAACAAGATCTTGGTTATATTCTACCCTAGATAATAGGATACTTGAGCTAAAAACATAAAGGGAATAAGTGTATGGAGGAAAGCAAAATAATAATAATAAAGAACAAAAGTATAGTTGCGATTGGTCCCAGGCAAATATGTCAATGCTGATCATGAATTTACTTGGTAATAATCTGGGCCATGAAATAGAAAACCGATAAGCATCCAAGCCTATATCCTTCATAATTTCCACATCTTCCTGCAATACAAAACACAAAATATATCAAAATCAAGAAGCTAAAAGTAAGTATTTCATTTTCAAGTTTCAAAGTTTAATTGGTATGTACACATTGTGACCTTGAAGTACAAAAGGTGAAGAGAAAATTTGAACCTTATACTTGTGATATTGATCAAGAGTAACATCTCCATTGCTGCCATCAATGATCCTTTCTGTAATTAATCATAATTTTCTTTTAATTATTTGCAAAAATCATATCGTATGTACATGCTTGGGTGGATATACTAATTAAGTATCCGTACTACATGAATCTCACCATAAGTAAGTAAAGACGAAGTGATTTAGCTTTTTAAATTTTTTTTCGATAATAATGAGAAAAATATAAAGACGGCTTTGTTGATAATTCCCAATGAGTTATGTTATTTACATTCACATGTCCTATTTTCCTACCCACCATATAAATTTTTAAAAAAACACAATTCTATCTTTTCACCCACCATTATTCCTAAAATACCCTATAATTATTTGATGGTTTACTTGTATCTAAGCACTTCAGGGGGGGTGTTATTGCTCATGTGTTAGAAGGGTGCTGTGCTTTGAGGATCAGAACAACTCAAGCTAATGTTGTGTGTTGTATTGTTTTTGGGTGCACGATGCTGCAGAATTTGGGTGGTCATGCAATTCACACAGAACTTGCATGTTCCTGGGTGCATGATGATGATGCCGCGGAAGTTGAAATTTGGGGATTTGGGAAACTGCTTTGTTGCTAACCTTTGAAGTAATAGGGATTTATAAAAAATTTCCGATCTTTTTATTACATGTATTAATATTTTTGGGATCTTTCTCAACTTTAGTAAAAAACCGCTTGGGTTAAAGTTTTTTCCTTAAATCTTTAGAAGTCATTTCACATAGGAGTAAATTTGTATTTAAAATTTTAAAAATAAGATAGATGAAAAAATACGACAAAGAATGGAAATAATCACACTCTTCTCAATAAGCCATCCAACACAAAAACAAAAAAAGAAAAAAAAGAAAAAAACAGAAGCAGCCAGGACACTATTGTTACCTAATCTTATCTTATCCAAATATGGGTCGAAAGTCGTTTTATTGGCTCAGTTGGGACCCATGGCATGGTCTGCAGCAGTCATTTTCCAAGAGAGGAAAATAAAATAAAATAAAATAAAATAAAACAATTAGAAGAGGTAATTTACACAAATATTCAATTGGGTGTCTGGTTATGAAAAATATGTCACCACCTAGATATTCGTCTAGTCATCACCTTTACATACCTGTAGCTAATATTCTATTCTAAGCTGTCACCATAACTTTAGATAGTGACCAAAATCTAAGGACTTGATGTTTGTTCTGGTGTTTTCTCTTGGATCTCGTGTGGTAGGGGCAAAAGACTATTTAGCTACTACAAGCTATCCCCACATCCCCTTTTGTCACACCACTCTATGAGATGAGCCGATTAGAAATGGAATAGGATAACAAAAAGAGGAAACAAATGCGCATGGGAATAAATATGAACACCGCGCCAGAAATTTTTCTGTGTAGTAAATCTGTGGGTGGAGGTGAAAGAACTCAACTTTTTAAGAAATGAAAAATTGTAGATTTATTTTCTTAAATTTGCAAGGAAGGCATACATGTACAACACAACAAACCAACCCTGCAAATTATTATGGGCTTAATTATGTTTTAGGTTTCTTTAATTTGAAGGGAAAAAAGAAAAAAAGAATATTGGATTACACAGACAGACAGACCTGGATGTTTGTGGGTGTAGGAATCCCATATGCTTGGTCCTCGACCACCTTCATTTGCAGCGCCTTCATACTGAAATTATTAATGTTACACTCACTGAAGATGTCAATATGTTCTCGACGGATGGATGGATGCTAAATGAATTAGTAATAATAAAACAAAGATTAAGGGGTAAATCAAGACCTGGTAAGATCCTGAACCTGAGCCAAATATGAAACCTGGAGGAAAACTGCTCCTGTTGAGGAGAGCAACAGCTTTGTTATTCGTCAATAACGCAAAGCAAACCAGCAGCAGCAGCTCCTCCACACCTAACATCAAAGACCTTAATTGTTTTTCCATCACTAGGCGTTTGTTTGTGTTGTGGTGATCTTGATTCATTGTCTTTAGACTTTACTCAGATATATATATATATATATATATATATAGCATGGCGTGTTCAGATATATTGCGTCTCCACTCGAATGAGTGGGAACCTTTATCTTTAATTTTGACTAATATAGTTGGTGAGGTGATGCGTTTAGGATTCTTGGTTCTGGGCTTGGGTATTGAAATGTGTACAGAGATTTGAAATTACTTAAGCTTGCAATCGTTGCTTTATGAATACCCTATTTTTAGGTTTAATCAAGTTGAATGTTGGCTCAGGCCAGTGGTTTGAGGTTCAACAACTACCCATACAACCAACACTTCAAACCAAATGGTAAGCCAACCTCAGCAATAACATTGGCTGCTGCTGAGGTTCAGCAATTCTCCTTACTTTGTTTGGTTGATTTTGATGCTATATATCTCAACCTTAACTCACGTAAGCAAAACGAGTAACTTTATTGACTTAGATCAATTACAAAACAATTCACAATGAAAAATCATTACAAAGCCAACTTATAAACTGGGTTAGCAACTGTAATATCCCCCCGCCTAAAACAGCTGCCTTAACTACTAATCTAACATTCGTTCAAAAAAAAAAACCTACTAATCTAACAACCCGACAACTGATAACAATTGGGAGGTAAGAAACGTGCCACCACGTGGACCACTCTTCACTTGCCAAATGGACCAATGAAATGAATACACATAACCATCAACTATCAAGCTAAACTAGCAACTATCAGATGTTTTTGCCAAAGTTGAGGAGAAAGAAAACTCACACATGGGTACCATGGGAGTTTGAACCTAGGATTATTGGGAATACACCAAATACTTGACCAATCCATCTAACACCTCATTGGTTATATTATTTGGTTGATAAGTCAGCATTTTTTAAAAATTAAATTAAATTTTTTTTTAATGATATCCATTGCACCTAGGGATGGGCATTCAAACTGGAAACATGAAAAACTGAGCCGAATTGGGTCGAAAAAAATCCAAAAATATAAGGTTAACCAAAAATCAGACTAGACGGTTTGGTCTGATTTTGATTCAAGGCCTTGTGCAATGGCACTACTTGTATGTTATGAGTTGTTCATTGGTGACTTCTTTTACTGTCAAATTATGAATATATTGCAGTTGATAAGATTTCAATGAGAATATTGTAGATTAGTTTATTATATTTTTCTTTAATCTTAAAGTTATTTTTTCTTTTATACGAATGATTTTAGGGAGGAGGAATTTTTCACCCTGTTTTCAGAAATTTTGGCAATGATATCGTCCATACTTATTTTCTGCATGTTTTCCTATCACATATTTTTTAAAACTGCGATGAAAGTATTTCATGAAATGCATATGATAGAGGTCTGAATAACATGATAGTATCTTGTAACACCTCTTAACGGCAGGACCTCACCTCCTATACTCGATTATTGCAAGGGAAAAATAAGAAATACAACAAATCATAAGCAATCCATATTTAGTGATTGGGTGTCTCGATGTAACCCGCATGAGTAGAATTGGCAACTTTGGTCAAGGTTTTTAAATCATAAGCAATCCAACACCTTGATGTGTCCTGGTTGTAAAAGGTACCCCAAACACTCGCAATCCGAAGTACACTACTTGCCACAGTCATTTTCTTTCACAGCAATTCCACTTGTGTACTTTCTTAAGAAATGATCAACCCCTTCAACTTTATAATAGCGGAAGCTATTTGCCCTACAAGAAGTAAGCTTCTCAGGCACACAACTCTTGCTCCAACCCAACAGTCCCTTAGGTGAAGGGCAAGCAACACATTGGCTGCCCTCACAAAAGCCCAAACTTCCCACATCGCTCTGGCAATTGGCACTCATTTTCCCACCAGATTGAATTGTCTCTGTCGAAAAAACTGAAGGTCACTTCCCATGCCCCAAAATCAATCTTGTCATTGTAAGTGTAAAGCTTGACATTTCCATCAATTCCAAGCCTAAGGAACGTTGATGTGCTATTGTATTTGGTCTTAGCTAGATAGATAGTTCCAATGGAGGAAGGGTTGGCCGCTTGATAATTTAAGGTCAAGTCATAACCAGAACCCTCATCTGGGGCACTATGTATCGTTACATGCTCCAATGATCCCTTCGGAAGAGTGATGCGTAGTGGTTTTGGGGAGTTTGTTGCTCTTATAGTATAGTACAAAGCCAACCCGTTGGGCTCCATGACCAAGCTGTAAGGCCCATCTTTGTTTTCTTTCTCGGAGGCCCAACTCACAAAATTGGTTACTGCCCCAACCCGGAGAGATTGACCCACCAACAAAGTGTCAGTAGGGTGGTTAAAGCTTTGCCAAACAAAGGTACCCTTTGAGTTATAGAGGACCATGTTGCCTGTTGGAAGCACTACAAACCCTTTGTTGGCAGTGTTGGTTTGCCACGCCACTCGACCATCGGCATCGGCCAAAACAAGGTTGCCGTTTGTCCCGAATGTGAGAGTGGCGTTTTCACCAACCGAGTTTTCAAGTTAGCCTCTGAAACCTAATGGAAGAGTGACTCAGAACGCCACAAGCCCATGCGAAGAGCAAGAGTGAAGGCATTTGGGGTGGTGTTGTAAAAGGCAAGTTGGAAAGGGGAGCTAAAGACACAAAGCTAGTTTCCATGTATTGAATTTTAGGATGTGTGTGATGAGTGTTTGTGACGTTCTGATACCACTTGTTAGATTGTAGGGTGATTGCGAGTGGTGTTGCTATGATACCATTGTTGGTTTCTGTTGTGAAAGAGTTTAAGATAATAGACAATAGTTGAAACAAAGTAAATAGTACGTAGTGTAGGCTAATTGGCCTTCTTAACAGCTTATTGGCTTATTGGCCATCACGCTTGATTTAGATTAGTTTGGGCTATTTGGTCCTATAGCTTGAGTTCTTGTCTTCAAGCTTCTTCCGTAGGTTGGGTAGCTCACCTGTAGCTCCCTCTTAGATTGGGAGTTCTATTAGTAACTCCCACCACCTTTAGTTGACTAGCTAGATAGCTAGCTTTGTTGCTTAATTTCCTAGCTTTTCTAGCTTAGGATTTTAGGTAGCTCTTGGCTCCCTTAGTTTGGGAGTTAGTGGTTGACTCCACACTCCATTGTAGGTTGCATGCCAATATAGGCATTCTTTGCCGACATCACCAAGTCCATTGACTTAGCCTTCTTTTTCCTAGCTATATGTTTTTTGTACCAGTAGGTGTGGGGTTTTATCACAAAAGGTCTCAGTGTTATTAATAGTAAAATCATTTATTATATTTTGTATTTTATTTAGTCAAGTTTCCGATGTTGGATTCATATTTTTCAACAGAATGTTCTTCAAACTTCAATTCTTTTTGTCTAGCCGATGTAGTCTTGGTAATATTCTCCACAACTCTAGGCTCTTCTGCCAAGTTGTTCATATTAATGTTTCTTCTAGAACCTTTTAGATCTTTTTGTCACAAATGGGCATTAGTATTTTCAACACCATGGTATTCTACAATGTAAGGTCCAAACTCTCTTTCATTGACGAACTTGAAAGTTTGATTTGTGGGAACTTGAGCTTGAGTAATGAAAGCAAAGAGTGAGAAGAAGAATAATAAGGAAAGGAATGGCATGGTGAATGCTGGGGGATGCATACTTTAAGCTTGGTTTATGTTGTAGAAGAGTTTGAGCAAACATCTCTATTTATAATATCATCATCTAGATGAGACGCCAACTTTGACCAATGCCAATTGACATTTCCGTACAAGTATTGTACGACCATTCTAATAATGTTGATCTAAGGGTTTCAAAATGTTTGAGGCAACTTGAGGATGTGATGAGAGCAGAAATTAGATAAGATAATAGACTCCATCTACGCACCAGCTCCAGCTAGCACACGGCAATTCATTTTCTGTGTACCAAACTTCAGTTAATATTGCCCCCCTAGTCGGGCGAATCTATCTAACCGAAGTTATTCCTCTGAAAAAAAAAAAAAAAAAAAAAAAAAAAAAAAAAAAAACAGAAATTAACCAAAACAGAAAATCTAGAAAGTAGAAGCGAGACACTTTTAGATAATTGATGGATGGTCCTGCATCATAAAGTTGTCCCAATCATTGGTTTTGGAGTGGAACCTCGATTTACTTCAACCAACACACTCTTCGCCAAAAAAAAATATATATATATATATATATATATATACAATAATAATATAAGGCATAAAGTATTGTTCTGTAAAGATGCTTCAACATCTTCAAGTTGTCGATCGAGTTCACTGAATTAAAAGGACATTGTTTCTTGACTTGTACTACAGCAATAAAATTTGCTATTTGCTACTCTGGGACATTGTTTCTAGACAATGCAATCTTCAATTGCTTTTAGGATGGACGAAGATCCAGAAATAGTAGATCATCATATGATTTAATCATGAAAACAAAACAAAATTAAGTTATGAACAACAGTTCATCACCATAGTTTTATTAAAAGTTCAGCCAAAGAAAGAAACAGAGCAACTTCTAAGAACAGAAATTATATTCCAGATATTAACAAAAAAAAAAAAAAAAAAAAAAAAAAAAAAAAAAAAAAAAAAAAAAAAGGGGGGAGCGCTCTATAAATTAATGATTAGGAGCCTTGATGTAACCCACATGACTTGAATTGGCAACTTTGGTCAAGGTTTTCAAATCATAAGCTATCCAACACCTTGACGTATCTCGGTTGTAGAAGTATCCCAAACACTTGCAATCCAAAGTACACTTCTTACCACAATCACTCTCTTTGATAGCATATCCCTCATTGTACTTGCTCGAGAAATGATCAACCCCTTCAATTTTGTAGTAGCGGAAGCTCTTTGCCCCGCAAGAAGTTAGCTTCTCAGCCTCACAACTCTCACTCCAAGCCACTACTCCCTTAGGCGTAGGGCAACCGACGCATTGGTTGTCCTCGCAAAGGCCAAAGCTCCCGCATCGCTCCGGCAATTGGCACCCAACTTCAAATATTGAATCTTTATCAAAAAGAGTGAAGGGCACCTCCCATGCACCATACCTCACCTTATTAAAGTAAGTGTAAACCTTCAAATTTCCATCAATTTCAAGCCTGAGGAATGATGATGTGCTGTTGTATTTGGTTGTAGCTAGAACGAGATTAAAACCTGAGATAGAGTTGCCCGGTTCATACAACAAGGCTAAGTCATAAGCAGAATCATCACTATTTACCGTGTAACAATTCAATGCCACGTGTTCCAAAGAGCCGTTGCCAACATCTATCAATTTTGAAGATGTGAAGTAGACTATTGGCTTTGGGGAGTTCTTGCTCTTGTAGTACAAAGCCAAACGTTTTGGCTCCATCACGAAGCTATAAGATCCATCTTTGTTTTCTGTCTCTGAAGCCCGGCTCACTAGCTTGGTTACGCCCCCAACTCGTAGAGATTGGCCTACCAGCAAAGTGTCTGTTGGGTAGTGAAAACTTTGCCAAACAAAGTTACCCTTTGAGTTGTAAAGCACCATGTTGCCATTTGAGAGCAACTTGAAGCCTACCACACCTTTGTTGCGGGTGTTGGTTTGCCAAGCCACTCGACCATCGGCATTGGCCAAGACAAGGTTTCCATCGGTCCCGAAAGTGAAGGTAGCGTTTTCGCCGACCGGGTTCCCCCGGTTGGCCTCCCAAACCCAACGGATGAGTGATTCCGAACGCCTCAAACCCATGCGCACTGCAAGAGTGTAGGCGTTGGGGGTGGTGTTGTAGAAAGCAAGTTGAAATGGGGAGGTAAAAGTATCGAGCGGACGATAGTTTCCATCATATTCCACAATGTATTGCCCAAATTCTCCTTCATTGACAAATTTGAAAGTTTCATTTGCTGGAACTTGGGCTTGAGCAATGAAAGCAAAGAATGAAACAAGGAATATGAAGGGCAGGGACATGGTTGTCTTAATGCAGGGGAAGACGTTTTTGTAGAGTGATTTGTGTTTTAGAGCTTGGGCAAGCGTTTACTTATATTGAACAATGAGGGCTAATATAGTCATTGAACCCAGAACTCCTTCTCTTTTGATTTTGATCACCAAGGGATGTTCAATATCTTTTCGTTGTAAGCGATAGACTAGCCTAGACGCCAACTTTGACGAATCTTGCACTCTGAAGCAGAGCATTCTGATGTGTGCAGTCACCTAAATGACAGAAAGTTAGTCAAATATAGGCAAAGTGTTCAAGTGGTTAATTTATCCATGTATTCAAGATTCTTGGTTCGTTTCCCCCTCCCTAATATCACTTGTGTAAAAAAAACACCATTCGAATCCACCAGCACTTGTAAAGGGTCGACGAAATCAGAAACATTTTTGTCAATCTAATCCACTAGCACTTGTAGTCATTTTATCAGTCCTTGGGCGGCTAATGTGTCTTAACATTAATCTATGGTTAAGCAGTTGATCTAAGCATAAAAATTGCAATCAGCCATGAATACATTGTAATTGACCTTTGTGGATAAACCCAACTGATGTCATTTAATATGCAGCAACTTGGGGATGAATGACTCATCTACCTAATGCCATATTAGGCCAAACCTCTCATCAAACATGACAGCTAGCAACAATGACTCTATTGCTCATTGAGTGAACCATTTTCTTCCATTTCTTCCACATGCTCATTGTCATTCAATGGATTCTCTGACATGTCTACCTACCCACCAAGTTGTAGACATATCACTTATAACATGTCTCTGCTTTCTGCCATCTTCAATGTTTGTGTATTATTGTATATTATCTGCCTAATAAAGCTGAGATTTATTGTGAATGTTTGTTTCATTAAAAAAGATGCACACAGAAAATGGTCAGTTTGAGAATGTACACGTAGTTTTAGGGAGTTGAGAATGTACGGCTAGGATACAACTATTGTCCTTTGACTCAGCAGACAAAATATACAACTCCTTGCTAGTGGATATAACAATGGATAAGATGGTCCTGCATCAAAATTATAGTTGTCTGGTTTCCTCAAGCTCACGCTCAATCCTCCTTTGTTGACTTGTAATTCAGATTTTAGTTCACTGTGAATCTCATTTATTAATTTTCAACAAAACACTGCTACATTTTTACGACCTGCTGTATCATTTTTACCTTGCAAATTTGGTGACTCTAACATTATTGCTAATGTTCCGACTATTTTCTTATATATTCCCCCACACGAACTAGCAGAGAGTATCACAAAATGGCAGCTATAATTCCACATTCACCTTTTCTCCTACTACTCTTCTCCCTCCTTGCCATCTTCTTTGTCATTCCCATTCAATCCCAAGTCCCAGCAAACCAGACCTTCAAGTTCATCAACCAAGGCGAATTTGAAGACGGAAACGTTGAATACCATTCTACTTACCGTGTGATCCAAACCAATGCATACACCTTCTATAGACACCCTTTCAGGCTATGCTTCTACAACACCACCCCAGATTCCTACGTATTCGCCATCAGAGCCGGAGTTCGGAAAGACTTAGGCCTCATGCGGTGGGTCTGGGACGCAAACCGGAACCACCCAGTGCACGAGAAGGCCACTCTCTCTTTCGGCAGAGACGGAAACTTGGTCCTCGCAGAGGCAGATGGGACTGTTGTTTGGCAAACAAACACAGCCAACAAAGGTGTCACAGGCATCAAGTTACTGGGAAACGGTAACTTGGTTCTTCATGACAAGAATGGAAGATTCATATGGCAGAGCTTTGATTACCCTACTGATACTCTTCTGCTGGGGCAGTCAGTCAAAACTAATGGCCGTAACAAGCTTGTTAGTCGAAAATCTGATGCCGATGGCTCTGACGGGCCATACAGCCTTGTTCTTGACCACAAAGGTTTCGCTATGTACTTGAACAACAGTGGAAAACTTCTTGTGTATGGGGGGTGGCTAGGCAGCGACTATGGAAGTATTGTGACCTTTGATTTCGACACTGAGATTGGCTTCGACGATTTCATTTATTATGAGTTAGTGCTCACTATAAACCAAGACGTTCATGCGCCGCCGCCTCCTCCACCACAAAGCCATAGGCACCTCCTACAAGTCCGTCCCATTGGCAATGGACACCAAATCAACCTTAACAAACTCAACTACAATGCTACATACTCATTGCTAAGGCTTGGGTCCGATGGCAGTCTCAAGGCCTATACTTACTATGACAAAGTGAGTTCCAATACATGGGAAGAGAGCTTCTCATTCTTTTCAAGCTATTTCGTTAGAGAATGTGGATTGCCATCAAAATGTGGGTCATATGGGTATTGTAGTGGGGGCATGTGCGTGGGGTGCCCTACCCCGAAAGGCCTTCTGGGTTGGAGCAAGGGATGTGCACCTCCAAAGTTGGGGCAGTGTAAGAGTGGAGCTAAAGTGGACTACTACAAGATTGGGAGCGTTGAGCACTTTTCGAGTCCTTATTTGGACGGTGGAGATGGCCCGATGAAGGTAGGAGAGTGCAGGGCCAACTGTGATAAGGACTGCAAGTGTTTAGGGTTCTTTTACAGGGAAGATAGCTCCAAGTGTTTGTTGGCTCCAGTGCTTGGGACTCTTATAAAGGGAGTGAATACATCTGTCGGTTACATCAAGTATTCAAAGTAGAAATTTGATTACTCTAGTGTGTGGTTTCTTTTCTATTTTTAGTATGTTGTTTTATGGATGGCTAGACTGAATTTCAATTCAAAGGACTTGTTATCATGGCAGCCACTTTTTCCATTTTGTATTCTAGAAATTTAAATAAAGAAAAAAAATAAATGTTTTGAAATTAGTTAGGCGTTTTGAGCAGTACAATAATCTCACTAGGGCCATCAAATTTCAATACATTTTTATCAGAACAATGCAAAGACTGTACTGCATTTTTCTTTATTCAACCATTTTATTTTCTGAATAAGTTAAATAAATCGGTTTACATGATACAGGAACAGGGGAATAAAATGTACCATTTTCTAGGATTTGTGACTCTCAAAAGCATTACCACATGAAGCTTTCCCACCCGCTAGTAATCCGGCAAGGAACAAATGATGAGCAATCTCATATGCACCATGATGAGACAGCAATGTTTTCTCTTCTTCATCCAGGGTCGGTGATGAAAGAGCACAATTTGCAAACTCAACATCAAACTTCCCTCAGTTTTTTGTACTCTTCAAGACCCAAAAGTGAATCTTTGACTTTGAGCCAATCTGCTGGTTTTGGCATGATAATGGCAATATATCCTTCTCTATCTGCCTGGAAAGAGGAGGAATAACTATGAACAATGAGCAACCAAGCTATAAACGGAAGGAGTAGTGTAAAGAACTAAAACCACTTTCAAAAAGCATAAAGAAGAAGACCCAAATTAATATATGTGATGGCCCTGAAGCCTTGAGGGAAGAAGCATGTAAAACTCAAGCATGTGTAAGGGAAGAAGCTTCTTTCCATCCCACAAGTCCAAAGTACTTAGGAATTCTAATCCTACACCATCACTACTGCCAATTCCACTCTCAATTAAATCATAGCTTTCCAAAGCCATCCCAATACAATTGGCCATCTCAAACCTTCAGATAACTTCACGACATATGCCCCGACTCAGATCATATAAAAGCAACATGAAGTATGTTCAAACACAAATGATGAAGTCCCAAGGAGTGGCATTGGTGCCAACGTCCATTGAATGTAGCTATCAAAGAGACCCTTAACCACCCCCCTACCCCCCCCACCCCCCCCTCCCCCAAATCTCTCTCTCTCTCTCTCTCCACTATCTGCCCTGAATGTGTGTATCTTTGTAGTATTTCTCCTCGTTTTGGACACTAAATGATGTTATTTCCTATACAGGGATATGGAAATCCAAATGCTGCAGTTATTGACATCAAATACACGAGAAGAAGCATGCTCAATCCTACCTATGTTGATTTCATTTAAACATAATGATTCAAAGAATGATGATTAATATCACAGAAAATCAGACAGCTGATAATGTTAGTGTATAAGCTGTGAGCTGATTAAAGCTTAGCATAAATATGCCTTGTAGTTAATTGTGTATTCACTTTGGTAATTAAACCAAGTGTAGGGCCTTTATTGTAATTTGTGTGATCCATTAGTTTAGCATGATGGATGGCTGAGATTCACTGATGAGTGTGTGAATCCAGCTCAGAGCTAACGGTCTTGTACATGCCGTATGAGCTCATTTTCTTACAGATGAATATATACAAAAACACTGCTCACATACTCTGTGAGCAAGCAGAGCAGTTATACAAAAGCACTCAGAATTTCTTCTTTTCTCTCTAACCAATACACAAACCCAGCTTGAATAGCTAAACATTAACAGATAATGCAAGGGTATTAAGGATTCTTACTGCTGAATTAAGCAATTCTGGCTGCTTGATTAATCTATCATTCACTTCCAAAAGTGATCCTTTTACACAACACCTGCCGAAAGCAGCTACAACTTCAAACCTCATATATGGAAAGGAGCTGCATGCAAAATAATGAAAACTGGGGAAGACGAAGGCAGCATTGAAAAAAAAAAATTGCTACCTCACAACATAAGTAGCATCCTTGCTGCAAACTTTACACAAGGCTGAGTTGGACTCCAAGTGTTGTGCATTCTGCATAATAACATTTTTCCTAGATTACAAAACGACAGTATAAGAATTGGCACTACGCCACAAGAAGACTCCAGAATCTACTGACCAAGTACAGAATTCTAAAAGAAAAAAAGAACAATACATAAAATTATTCTGATATTTTTATCTTCTTAATTACAATATATTATCTGTGAGAGAGAGAGAGAGAGAGAGAGAGAGAGAGAGAGGAGAGAGGAGGAGAGAGAGAGAGAGAGAGAAATAAAAGATACCTTCTTGCGCTTTCCAGTAACCTTAATCCCACTGCGATCAGATTTCCCAACATTGAAATCAATGGCAGTGATTCCCCCTTCGTCCTTAAATGCCACATGGGTTGGAGCCAATCCAATCACACACAACCTTGCATACAAAATTACAATTAAAAACAATCAAACTTCACAGAACAAATATAAAAAAAGAGAGTTAACGAATGCACATACTAAACACAAAGAGAAAGGCTGGATTTTGTACCCATTGGCGTGGCGATAAATGTATTGGTCGTGTCCTGGCTTCGTAAAATCTGGAAACCAAACAGAGAGCTTGGGTTTAGAAAAGCAATTGTGCTGTTTTCATATTTATAAAATTGAATAAATCCATGAGGAAGAACCTGGAGCGAAATAAGAGACGAAGTTAGCTTCAACGGAAGAGGGAGGAGTGAGAGGAAGGTCTTCTGGGTTCGGTACAAGAAGCCTACGCAGCTCCGGATCTTCTACTTCATGTTCCTTTTGTTCTTGTGCATTGTTTGTTTCATCAACGCTGTGTTCATTCATTGGAAAGGCGGGAGAGAAAGCTTACAAGAAGGTTGCAGAATTTTCCCGAGAAAATGAGAGAGTGTTTGATGATTTGAAGAATTTTAAATCAGTGGAGACTTGGAGTTGGGGAAAGGAAGTAGTAGGGCGGGGAAATTTTGCTCATAGTTTGCTTTGCTCTGGGATTGGGAACAGAACAACGTCGTTTTACTGCCTAAACCCTAACGACATCATGTTTGGAGGTTTATGAGGAACATGTTTTGTACGACGTGAAGTTCGCAATGTCTCAGAAGAAGGTTTGGGCTTCTTCAGTAAAGACATAGGATTTCTTGGATCTGACTTGGGCTTTTGTTTAAGCTTTTGACATCTGTGAGTTTGAACTTGTTTGATCTAGTTTTGGATTCAATTTTTTGCAGCTGCTAATTAGGATTCAAATCAAAGCTCATATAGTCACTTTCTTTAGGATTTTTACCCCGGCATAAATGTCACCTGAACTTAAGAGAAAATTTTAAGAGAAATGTCATCTTAATTTATTAAAATCCATGATTGTCATCTAACTTAAATATCATCCAATTTTCCATCCATTTTAAAGGTATTTTAGTCTTTTCATTTTCAAGGAAAAAAAAGATAGACAAAAGAGACCTCTCTCTCCCTTTCCCCTCACCCCAACCCCATCTGCCCCCAAAGCACACCCCACAACACACCCCCCCCCCCACCCCCCCCCTCTTCTCTCCCCTATGTCTCTATGCTCTCTCTCTATCTCAGCATGTATACCATTTTTAATGATGTTCATTGAGCATGTTTGAAATTTTCAAATACCTAATTCAAAAGCTACTTAAGCTTCCCACCCAAAAGCCAATCCAATCCTTTTCTCGTCTTCATAGTTTCATTAATTTACACCACTGTATTTCTGTTGAAGGAACTGAAGTTTGCTTGGTCACCATAAGTTACGTAGGCTACTAAATTTGTTGGTTTGGCAATTGTCCTTCCACAAATTTTCAATATGCAAATGGAAAAAATACCAAAAAGAAAAATAAGAAGAAAAAGGTGGACTCAGTTTGCATGGACTGAGGGAATTTGTGTGTAGGGTAGGTGTTCCATGGTCAAGAAAGAATGAGAGATAAAAACAAAATGGGCAATGAAGTGGGAAGGGGGAGTGGATTTCAAGGTGAGCTGGGTTGGTTAGAGCTGCCAGTGGCGCACAAGGGATAAGGGAAGGTGAGATATTTTTTTCAATTTTAATTGTTTAAAAGATATACATTTTTTATAATGATTTTTTTCATTTTTAAAATACCCATGAAAATGGAAAGACTAAAATACCCTTAAAAACTGATGGAAAATTGGATGTTGTTTAAGTCATATGACAAATCATGGATTTTGAAAAATGAAGGTGACATTTATCTTAAAATTTTCTTTAAGGTGACAAATTGAAATCGAGGTATAAGTTCATGTGACATTTCTACAAAAATCCCATAAAATAATAATAAATCAATTATATGCGAACACCCAAAATACACACACAAACGAGCATGGTTTGACTCCTTAAAATTGAGGAGAAGCACGTCCTCATAACAAATGAGATTTTGACACTTATTAAAGTTCAAAAGAAAAAAAGATTAAATGAATTCAAAAGAAAAAGAAAAATAAAAAAAAAGGAATTTGTCAAATGTCAATCCTCCTCAGTTTTAAAGAGCCAAGCTATTTCCTATACAAAATACCTTTAACCAATCAAATCCAATTAAATTCGAAATGAATCAAATCTCCCCAAGTAGGATTCGAACCTATGACCAGTCAGTTAACAACCGACTGCTCTATCACTAAGCTACTGTGGAACATCTCATAGAGTTCAATTCTCATGGCCATGTTCGGTGATTGAGATTGGATTGAATTATGAGGTAGAATTGGATTACATTGGATTAAAATGATAATACTAATCCAATGATGTGTTTGATACCACACATAATTAAGAGGTTGGATTAATTGAAATGTGCTATTAGATGGCTTAGTAGGATTAGACATAATCTAATCCAACGTAATCCCAACCTTTTGGTAGGATTCATAGTCGTACTATATTTGGCCCTAGTAGGATTAGACATAATCTAATCCATGTTGCTTTTAGGCAACCAACTATTTGATTAGGATTATGAATCCTATCCAACTACATTATCTAATTGTCGATGCCCCACTATTGTAGTGGTAAGGAGTTTTGTCTACACCCAACTAGTCCTTAAGTTCGAGGTTGGCATTGTAAAGTGTGTGCGAGTTTGCACCCACTCTCCTCTCCCTTCCTAACTATTGGCAACAAAAAACCACATTATCCAACTCACAAAACGGGAGTAAATTAGATTACTTTGTAATCCAATCCAGCATGGTCTCAGAGTTTAGAACACAACCCAATCCAATTTGAATGAATGGATATTGAATTAAATTGGATGAAACTAGATTATCGATTTTAATAGTGGAAAACAATTCAAATATGAAGTAATTCCCGTCAAAAACCTAATCCAATCATACATTTTAATAGATTAAATGGAAAATACAAATTAAATGCTAAAGCAAAGTGTTTTGGTCCATGATGAAAATAAAACATAAAAGCAACTAATGGCACGTTTACTAATCCGTAATTGGATTAGTAGGTATTGAATTGAGGATGAATTGAATTGAAGAGGAGTTAGATTGAGGAGAATTAAATTCCAGATTCCTATTAAAGTTGTTTACTAAACCATATGGATTGAGGGAAGTTAGATTCCAGATTTCTATTGAAGTTATTTACTAAATCACATGAAATTGGGGTAGGAGTGGTGCTAATTACTAAAATGTCCTCGTTATTAGGTTAAAGTAGATGACAAATTTGGAATTTTTAAAATTGTGTGAGGATAAAAAATAGGAATTCCTAATGAGTTAGTTCTCCAGGAATTAGAACACCACCTCCTATCCAAGAATTTTAATTCCTCCAAAATCAGAAATTCAATTCCTAATTTTGTGTGAGCCCACTTACTTTTCGATTCCTTGATGTGAAAACGCAGAAATCTTTCATAAGTGGAATTCAATTAATTCCTGATTAATAAACACACCATAAATTGAATTCGATTGAATTGTCACAAGCAAATTCGATCGCTATCCAATTTAATCATGTTGGTTGTAAAATTTAGAGATCAAATTCATTCAACAAATCATGTGGATGACGGCATCATTCGATTTGGGCAAATAAGGTTGGATTTTGGGCAGATAAGGTTGGATCTTGAGTACTACTTTTCAACTATTTATGTATAATATCTCTCTCCACAATTCAATTTTGGCAGTAGAACCCTCGTAGCCTTGCAACTCTTCAATTTTCAACAACATTGTCTAATTGGTCACACCTTGTCAAATTGACTTCAACACATAGAACTATCAATTTTATCTTAAAGCATGACGAAATCTCCGACAACCCGTTTCCTCAGGAAGTATGAGGTACTCCCTAAGGTAAATTTCAAATACATAGAACTATCCACAAGTCACACGTCTCTTCAGATGGATTAACATTAGCGGCTTATGATTCCTTCAAAAAGACAATCATGTGCCAACTTGTATTTTTGAATTAAGACAATCATGTGCCGTATAGTTTTGAATTAAGGAAACAGCTCATTTCCTCTCTTAATCTGAGGACCATGTGATTCGTAAAAACAGTTTCCTCTTTTGTTAGGTTTCCCTTGACCAACTTATGGAAAAAAAGAGCCACAGATGCGTCTCCCAATTTATCGAAACACCAGCACATGAAATCAGGGGGTTAAAAATCTCGAGGAATAAAAGCCCCAACATATTTAAATCAGGGTATAAAGTCAAAAGCGCAGACAAGTCCTAAAGTCTAAAGGTGAAGCTGGTATCAAGATGATTTATTTGGTAGAGCTCATGTCATGGGCTATAATCATGGTGGAAAGTAACTGGCTTAATTGGTCTTGATGCTAAAATTATGAACACACGTTGCTGTGACTACTTTTCGATTTAATGGTTTATATATATATACCACTTTGAAAAGAAGATAAAGATGTCACACCAACAGACCTAGCTATGTGTTGTCGAGAGAGCTCACTTTATGCAAACCTGTCTGCAAAGGAGACGAACTTTTCAGGCTCCAAGATTTGATTCTAATTGTCACTTTCTCCAGCAAAGTTCCCAGAATAACGATGCTTATACCAGATTATATCAAACCAGCAACTTTTCTCACTGCACCCTTCTTCATTTTCAAGACCCTAGAATCCAAATTCTAGACAACTTCTAGCTATCTTGGCCTGGTCTTTCAATTATCAAAATGCATTCATATATATACCATCCCTAGTGAAGGCTTATGTAGCATGGTTTCCACCTTAATTGCAAAATCTTTTTTTTTTCCTCTTCTAATTTCACTCTTGTTCTTGATTGCAGATGTTAGTGATCAGGTCATTTGGCTTAGGCAGTGAGCATATATGTTCCCTTGCACCCAAGTTTGAATCCCCTTTCCCGTAGATTATCCTTGATTAAGAAAAACATGAAGATTAATGATATTTAGTAAGTGATTTGGTATAAACTGGGCCAGCATAATAATATATACATATATTGTTACATTAGGAGGAAAGAAACCTTGAAATTTCGATCCTGAGTGCCAAGCAAGGTAAGGAGGAGGACCAAAACCACTGTGGTAACCCACACAACTAATATTCTCAAATCAACCTCAGGATGTGGATGATAAGGTGGTTTTACCTTTCTTGCTCTAAGGAGTAGTGCCCTACCCTGCATATATATTTTAACATTTCGCCACCAAAATTAGAGTAATTATTGCGACTACTGGTCTATGAGATCATTATGTTGATACCATTCGGCCTATAAAAAATGCTGACACAAATGCTATTTTGATAAATTAAATGTGAAAATGGCCATACCCGGTGGAATGTCATCATTTCCTCTCAATTATTAGCAGCTACAGTCTTCTCTAAACAATACCGTATAGCATAATTCAGGAAGAAAAAAAATTACGTATCCCAAGTATATATTTCACCTAAGTTACCCCCACAATGTAATTTGAAGTTACCTAGAGAAAGTAATAGCACTCATTAAATTGTCGGTACATTAAGGGGAAGTTTAACCTTTTTACTAATTATGTGATTGACAGTGATAATTCTGTCACAAAATGAGTAATTGAAAATACATGAACTTATCGCGCAATTTTACTAGTAATAGTTTTTCTCTCGCATTCTTTTCAAGCAAATAGTATTAGTCTATTTTGCTTTACTGACAACCGTTTTATTCGTGTTCATTTTTCACGCGAATATTAGTCCATTTTACTTTACTAATTTTGTGATATTTGAGATGACATTTGATTTACACTCCCACATGGTTACGATTGACACACTACCATCTTGGATAATTATATTTTACCTGAATGCATGTCTTATTACTAATACACTGATTTAAGGCAAATTGTACTGTTCCTTGTAAAAGTGGAATGTTCATTTTCAAGAAACTGATGAGGTTATGAAGAATTTTATTTCAGGATTTCTTTGTCATTGGTCTAATCAAACCCATCAATTCTACTAGTAGAGTAACTTTCCCAGCTCACACCATGTGAAGAAGATCTAAGAAAGATCAACGAAAGATTAATTAGTATCAATGTGTCACCATCTTTTATGTTATTGTTAAATTAAATATCAATTTTGAGTTCATGAATCGCCATCCTAAGAAATAAAATATTCCAATAAACAGCACCATCCACCATTGTAACCACATGAACATGTCTATGCTGTTACAAACTCGTACGGAACTCTGATTTTAGTCAATCCTTTGAATGAAATAAAAGAGGAGATACATTCAAAATTTCCATGGCTCAGTCAGTTCGCCAAGCAGCTCTAGCTTCTTAACATTATATCTAGTGTGAATGACATAGGTTAAAGGTTTCGTTCCTCCAAAAGGTGATTGTAACTCAAGTGGTTAAGATGATTCACTCTTACATTCGAGTCATGTGTTTAATTCCTCTTCCCACCAATGGTGTTAAAAAATAAAACCATAAAATGTTTCATCGGTGAACAGCCACCCTAAGATTAAAAAATAAAACCATAAAATGTTTCATCCCTCCCAATATAACCAAAAACAATGAATAAAGAAATACAAATACATCGGTGAACCGCCACCCTAAGGTTAATTTTGGATCCGTCTTCTGGGAAGAAGAAGAAGCTGCAGGACTCAAGCATGTTATTGAAGGAGACTCGAAGATCCTTTCAAGATTATTGGAACTTGGAATAAATCCTTCACGCCTCCATCTCCATATGGCTTATTTCTAAGTTGCTACGTGACATCTTGATGTCTGATGTTGGGGTGCATTCAATTCAACATGTTTATCGAGAGGCGAATATTAGTTGTAGATGAACTTGCAAGGAAGGACCCATCTAAACTAATCCTCGTATTTGGTTCTTCTAATTGGCCTTCGAAAGTAGGACTTAAAGTTTATATAGGATCGAAGAAATCTTGAAATCTCAAGATGATTCTCTTTTCAGTCGTGATAAGAAGACACCCAAATAGAGGTTCTTGCATACAAATATCTGGACAAAATAAATCCAATAAGATGGTGAACAAAACATGACAAAATCAAACTCAGCTCACTTAGAGTTGAAAACTCGAAGATCAATAAGACTCAAGGCAGCACCAATGCTTCAAATAACATATTTTGCACGAATAGGGAACCAAAGGTATCAAAAGTGAAAGGGCCTAATTACCGCTCAACATTCACCTGGTAAGAGAAGACCACAACACCTCTCCAACAACCCACATGATCCCGCAGCACCAAATAATGAAAGATCCACCTAGATTTGACAACTCCACCTCCATAAAAGCCAATTCAAGAAGTACAAAGTTGGGGAGAAACAAAATCCATCAGAAAATTGTTTACAACATGACGAGGGAGATAGGCACCCGATTTATTAGCCGAAGGGTTTAGTTCCAGGGACCCGTAAACCAAAAGGGTTGCAGAGGAGGGGGGGTCACGCTAGCAAAGAAGAAGGGGTGAGAGAATAGAGAGAAAAGAGAGATTATGTATAAGTTGTATAAGGTGATTCTATGAACACGCAATTATCTCTCGACACGGAACCTAAAATACAACCTAGTTCCTCACAAGCAATTCTCGCATGTCCATAGAACCACCCTTATTTATAATGGTAATTTTACGAACATTAAGTCTTATATCCAAATTCTTACACAAACTCTTTCACATAATCTAGGATCTTTAGACTATGCAATCATGTAAGATCCATATAGGGTCCATATACTACATTAGAGTTTGTGTAAGAGTTAGGATAAAAACTTGGTGTATTTGTAAAGTTAGCAGACGTTCATATACCCACTTTACCAGGTAGTTTCAAGTAATCTCTGAAAAAACTAAAAAAGGGATTTGAAACCCTGAAATATCTGAAACTGAAATCTAGGAGACCTGCTCAGCCTATTGGGCTCATGAAATGAAGTTCCTGGGGCCTTGTCTTTCTATTCGTTTTCCCAGAAAACTAAAGCCCATAACTGTCGAGCAACTCGAAGACTCAAAGGGAAAATTGACATGTTACTAGAATTCTGGAGACAGATGCTCAAAGATATGTATAAGGTACCATTTGGCCCTTAGCCATTTTCTGATAAAAGGCAAAAAGATGAGGGAAACCAGGAGAGGGAAACAACAAAAACATCACTAACACGATCTCGTTCGGATATTATTTTGTATCCATCACCAAGCATTATTGGCAGTGGTGATGGCTTTCCTATTATACGAGACACTATCTCCTCGCCAAAGCACCAAGGCCTCAGCTTGATGACACACGTGACACGTGGTAGGAGATTTGAGTTGATGGAATTGTGGTGAAGTATTACTGTTGAGCATTTAGAATATTATAGTTAAACTTAAGTCGGTAATCATCATTAATTCTTTTAATATAACTTTTATATAATGGAAAATCTTTGAGGGTCAACCGGCTTATCTTAAATTCTGATTGGCTATGTGCCTACCCCTCCACCAACATAAGTCAAAAATCAAACTGTTAATCTATCAAGGAGACCAGATAGGACTGAGATTAAGTTCAGTCATTGGGTTTTTGTTTGTGTAGCATTTGGAGGAACCAATGAATTTGGAATCATCCCAGAAATGAATAACCACAAAACGTATTGGCAAGAAATTGAACTGAGGCAGTGCATGATCAGAAATTCTTGTGCATGACCATCACCATCTATTAACCTGTAAACGGGTAGGATTTGGATTGAAAATATCTCAATTCAAATTTGAATCCATTTATAATCGGATTATCGGATTCAGATTACTAGATTGCACCTATCAATCCATATATATTACGCATCAAATTCGGATTCGAATCGGATCAGATTATTATCGAATTTTATTTTGAGATGTACAAAAAATCAAAATTTCATTAGTAGCCTCGTTCTTTTATTGTATTTCTCTACTTTTTATATCATATTTTGATATTTTATCATAAATATTAGTTTTAAGTGTATTCTTAGTGCACCAGATTCGAATATTACTATAAAGCATAGAAAAATTAAATTATATTTCATACTAAGTCGGATCAGATTATTATTGGATCGGATAAAATATAATCCATATATGGATCCATTTATAATCGGATTACTGGATTCGGATTGTAATCGGATTATCGGATTGAGAAGTCCAATCTATCTCCTATTAATTACACCAGATTTGAATTAAAATTCGATCCATTGACAGGTCTACCTATTATTACGATTCATACATATATATGACATGTATAATATATTATAACTTTATAAGATACCAAACATGCCTTTCACCCATATTATAGTATCTATATGGTTATAAATTAATAACACCATATGACGGTATGACTAGTCATACCAAATTTTGGTAACTATCACAACCAAGAATTTTCCATCCGCGACTAAAAATCAAAATGCTTGATTGATTTGAAGAGACTGCCACTAATTAGGTGAACATTGCAAATTTCCAAGGATACTTATACTTTTTTAATGGCAAATTTCAATTCAGCTTGGGGCTTCCTGAATTGGTAACTAGAAGCTAAATCCAAAGCTAACTAGGGTTACTAAGCTCTGGTTACCTAGTCAGCAGGTTTTGAACCACAGTACTAATTACGCTAATATACTCGATAATGATTGCTTTGATGATGGAAGCACAATAATAAAAATATGGAAAATAATAAAGTATTATTAACACTATCTAATAGTACCATTAAAGCAAGAAAATAATGTGAGAGAGGAAGAAAAAGAGGAGCTAAAGCACTTTCATTGGTCCCATACCATGTCTCCTCACTAGCTATCCTCGATGTGATCTTGTTCAATATTATTATTTCCTTTTCTTCTCTCCCACTGCAAATTTGTTTTCTTCTCTCTCAAATTCCTTTCCAACTTCTCTCCTACTCAAAGAAATACTAAAAAAAACAAAAATAAAATTATCACTGGCTATGATGTCCACCAACAAGGGGAAAGATGTAGCAGAAGGATCGTCGTCTGCTTCTGCTGCTGCTGCTGCTGATCAGCAACAGTTGAAGCAGGCGCAGCCGGCTCAACTGAGCCGGTACGAGTCACAGAAGAGGAGAGATTGGAACACTTTTGGGCAGTACTTGAGGAACCAGAGGCCTCCAGTTGCTCTTTCACAGAGTAACTCAAACCATGTCCTGGATTTCCTTCGGTACTTGGACCAATTCGGAAAGACCAAGGTGCACTTACAAGGGTGCGTGTTTTTTGGGCAGCCAGAGCCTCCTGGCCCTTGCACTTGTCCACTTAGGCAAGCTTGGGGGAGCCTTGATGCACTGATCGGACGGCTGAGAGCTGCTTATGAAGAGAATGGTGGTTTGCCAGAAACAAACCCATTTGCAAGTGGTGCTATAAGAGTGTATCTGCGTGAAGTCAGGGATTCTCAAGCCAAGGCTCGGGGAATTCCGTACAAGAAGAAGAAAAAGAAGAGGAATCTATTGAAGGCCAATCTCGACCACAATCCCAACTTCACCATGCACCAATCTTGAATCTTGATCACCTGTCTCTCTCAACAAAATGGTAATTTCATACTACATATTTATAGTCTTGTATATAGATCGATGATGGGTTGCTTTAATCTCTTAGAGAAAGAGAAAATTATATATTTTTAAGCCACCAGCTTAGCTAGATTCTTAATTTTTGTTAAGAACTGATCAACTTTTCTGTCCGGAAGAAGAAAATTTCAGTCAATAAGATGTAATTAAAGACAAAATCGGTATGCTAATGGGCATATACATGTTCAAATGGCAGCCATCTCATTCTGTACTTCCCCATAAAACCCTACGCCAAGTATATTTTAAACCCTAATTTGCATAGTAGCTAGCAAGTTGCTTTATGAGAAAAGACATAATAACAGTACTTAGTAACTTTACCTTAATTAACTTCTTTTACCAACATTTGATACTAAGTTATGATTGGATCTTCCTCTCTCTCTCTCTCATGCAAATTAAATCATGGTATTTTTTGTGGGTTTCAAAAATATATATAATATTCTCATTAAGATGTTTTTGCTTTTTTTGTATTCATAGCCCTTTTGGGATTCTGCACGATCTTGTGCCCGCCATGAATGGACATAAACAGCATCTCACTGTTGACATTCATGTACTCATATATATATATATATATATATATATATTATATACATATATACATACATATAATATAAACCCCCCAATTATTTATATAATATTTTTGTCATAATCTTGACGCAATTTTATGATGAGAGATCTCGATGGGGGCAGTACGTAGGATTAGGAATAGGATAGACCAAATGCTCATCCAGCGGCCAAGTTGGTTTGCTGGTGTTAATGACAAATTAGCCATTACTAAGATATCTCTCATGTAGCATTAACACTAAATCTTCACAAGCTGCGCAAGCTTTGTCTTGATCTGATATTTAATAGTTTACATTCCTTTTCTTCTTCCCTTTCTATATTCACCATGATGCGATGTCCCTTCTTGTTGTTGTTAATTATTCAATATACAATCAATTGACCTTTGTACCTAAATCAGTTTGTCCTTTGTCTAAATCAGATTAATGCTAGGGGTAACCTAAATCAGCCGGAATTGCTTAATTAGTTTTCGATAAAAACGTTGTACTACGCGTTGTTTGGATTACTACTTATGATCAAGCATATGAATTAGTTTCAATAAATGTATATTACCATCTCCTAAAGCATATCCAAATGATGTCACACTACCCTATCAACACAAATCCAAATTTACCAAATAATTCACTTCATAGTTTATCATATTTTCCCTCTTATGTTTTGTAATTTGGCAGTTTGATTCTAATTTCTGCAACCCGGATTCTAATTTCAGGCGCCAATTTGATTTCCAACCCAAATGTACCATGAAGGTTTGGAGCTGCACCAGTCTGGGTGGTGCAAACACTCAACTCCATGTCACCATTGATGGTCATTGTCTATTTTCTTTCGCACTTATATATTATTTTATCAAGAAATCGAAATACGAAGTAAGTGAAGACGAAGATGAATCGAGATTATGAGTAAGTTCCCTCTACCACTTTCTTTGTAGGTTAATCGGTACAATGTCTCATAGATATATGGTTTAAGTATTACTACGTACCATAAACTATATCTCAAGCCTCTCTCCTTCGCTTTTTTTCTCTCTCTCTTCATGAAAGAGTATTGTGTTTCGGTTGTTCCTATCATTTTGGATAAATGCTGGTTGAGATTACATTGTGTAATTATTGTGGGGTTCCATGAATTTCTATATATACAAGCAGGCTACTTTATATGATCATCCGAATTTGAGTGTTGAATGAAATTAAATTGAGCTTCTGGTTTTGTTGCTCTTATATCTACATGTGTGTCATCAGATCAGATTCATTAAGTTAGAATGTCCCGTGTTTTTCCACATAAGAAATCCATGGTCGATTAACTTACAAGTGTCAAGATACTATTTGCTAAGCTCATGGTTCATTGTGTTTTTTTTTTTTTTTTTTTTTTTTTTTTTTTTTTTTTCTGCATGGGCACGCGGCTTGTTTCATAACAATCAACATGCGCCCTCATGTGGTGATATGAAAATCATCAGAGCTTCATTTCCAATCATCTTCAACTCCCATAAATTTTTGGTGCTCTCATTCCACTTGCCAACTCTCAAGTCCATGCTGAAATGACCATTTTGTTCATCAATTTCAATATGTCATTAATTGTTTCAAAGAGTTTTTGTAGACATTGTTCTATTGTGTATGAATGAACTTGTGTTTGAGATCACGTTGGAATCTCTGCGTATGTTTCTGATCAAGTCATTACCACATCTCAACATATCGCAAATATTTTCATCAAATTCGGTATACATCGTATTATGTACATGACGATGATATGATTCGTAATAATTAAGAATCAATTAAAGCTCTGATACCAATTTAACGTCGAAAAATTAATTGAGAGATGAGGAGAAAAATCCACCAAAGGGTAAGAGCTAGCAATAAGTTGACTATTCTATGGAATCCACCCCAACGGAGATAGACAGAAGAACTCGTCACCTATTGGAATATATCCATATAATAATGGAGAATTAACAAAAAGTTGGTCTTATTCTTATCAAGTTAAGCACTAGACTTTCATTTCTATCAAGACATGAAATGAGATAAATATACTAACTCGATAGATAAATATTAGATTAGTTTTCACATGAAGATTTTAGCAGCCATAGAAAAATTCAAAGAATGTCAAGATTAACAAATATCCAGACACTTATAAAGTTCGAGGGAGGGGGAAAAAAGAAAACTACGTGAACTTGAAAATACATAATTTGTTTTATCTTCTTTCTTTGGTTCATTTTCATTTTTTAATAAACTTTATTTATGTATTTGTAATTAGTTTATAGTCATTGACATTAGTGGCACATGATGGGATGGCTAACAGTACAATTAGTACCTAATAGTTAACAATCACGATTATTCGTGCTCATACATGTGGTATTAAGCGTTGTTACTGTCTTTATCCTCATTCTGTACTACACAGATGACAATGACTATAACGTTGTTTTCTTACAGTGGTATGTTCACATCTAAGGCTACAATATGATCCTTAGCTCTTTTTTTGTTCTTTCTAACAAGTAACTTGATGTGTTAAGATTTGTTGTTAAAGGATGTGCATACATAACTGCACGCATAAACGCGTATATCCGTCCCTCTCTATAGAATCAGTGAAGGATCTAGATCCATGACACTTGTACATCACAAATACGGTCGAAGTCTTGAAGATGCTGAAAAGTATAAAGCAGGATCGTGACCATGAAGTGAGTTGCTGCTGGCAGCAATATCATCGAAATAGCATACCAAATGGGTAAAATTAATTGCATAAGAATTATCTAGACATCTACAGCATTCCCTGCCCCCTGTTCAATCAGTTTTAGTAAAGATGCTGCATTAAAAGTATAAATAAATTTTCTCAAAACCGATTTAGTAGATTCATGTGGGCCCTACAAAATCATGGACACCGCAACTTGCTTGCACCAATGGAAATGTATGTATATATTTTGTGGGCCTCACTATTATTACCTTGAGTTTCGAAATTCAAATCTTTCCTGCGTCAATTATCGTTTGTGAAAATAAAAATAAAAATTGAATTACTATTAGGTAGGTTTTCTAATTAAAATAACATGTCGAACTATATGACAAGAGAATATTTTTACGTGTATTTCCGTTGGATTGGTAGTGATAGAAGTTGATAAGTATCTAGCATCTAGTTCAGCGTTTGCTATGGAAACTATATAACATATAAATCACCAAACCTAAAATAGTAGTGGGGAAACCATTCCCTTGTCTATTTCTAGTTTAATACACCATTTGGAGCAAAATTCAATCTTAACCCATCTTAGCACCACGCAAAAATCATTATCTTCTACACCCTTGTATTTTGAATTAAAATGAAAACTCAGCTTATCATCAATAGTTTAGATTCCCGCATGGGACGAGTGTGGTTTCAGGCCCCCACTTCATTTTTACCTCTTCTATTTGTATATTATAATATGTTAGATTAATTTTAGGATATTTATTCTAAAATAAAATAATATATTATGTTATTTTGGTCTATGAATTAACCATAACATTTATTGATATCTCTTCTTTCTATTCATCTCCCTTAAATCTTCTAAGTTAGTTTATAACATTTGCACTAAGAACTCCTAAAGTTTTAACCTTTCTTTCTCTTCCACTTTTTTTTATTTTATTTTAAAGCTTTGTGAATTTTTTTTCCTCATATTTTTTTATGTATGAGTTGGGTACCTTAATATTACGCTTTATGAACTCTTTATTTTTCTAGTTCTTTTCTCTATTGGAATATAAATTAATAATTTTTAAGTCTTTAATAGTGTAGATGATGAAATTAGTATTTAACTAATTTAAAATATGAAATTCATGATAATTATGAATAAAAGACAAATTTTATGAGGGGTCCCTCTAATGTGAAATTATAGCTCCGTCGCTGTTAGCAACATAATATATCAAAACCACAGAATTATTGAAGATTTGTACATGTGTACATACGTATACAAACTCAATTACGGTATTAGCTGGCAAACATATTTTAAAAAACCATTTGGAGCATAACCAAGTTGTACGTGAGAGTGTATTTTGCATGCATGGATGTTTGTGGTCGCCCATTACAAAATCACCTAGTGCGTACGTAGGCATTATATAGCCCCTCTATGCCTATAGGCTGCAGGCTGAGGCCAGAGATTGTCATCTCATATCATATCCCCACGTAACGAAAGTGATCACAGTGAGTGGAAAATCTTTGCAGATCGCAGCCTCCCACTAAAGCAAGGCCATCCAATTGGGATGAAGTTGGACCACAAGACCGACACCGTCTATTGTTTTTTTATATATTTTTTATAAAATTAAAAATATGTTCGTACAACATTATTGGCATGGTGATCTCAATATCAACTTCAAAATTCAATCCAATAATTTGAAATCCGATCCCATTAATTAATCATCCCAATAGAAGATTAAGAT